TGATAAAAACATTTTTAAATGATATTGGAATAAAATACAATTTAAAATGATTTTGGAATAAAATACAATTTAAAATGAAATTGGAATAAAATGCAATGATTTAATATATAGGTAAATAAAATAAAATACACCCTTACAATCTACCCCAATCTGTCCCACATATGCTGAACTCAACCGAACCATTTTGCTCAACTACTGTGCAGTATTAAATGTTGTTTTCAAGTTCTGGCTGCATATTACAGGGGTGTCAAACTCGCAGCCTCGCGTGATGTGTTGGTTCTTTTTTCCCCCTTGCTAAACCGGGTGGGGGCGGGGCCAGCATGTGACACATCCGGCCTGCGGGCCACGAGTTTGATACCCCTGGCATATAAGATAAGTTGTTTTAATATAGGGTTCCCAGTGAGTCATTTGTTTAAAATGTGGACCAAGGTACCTGTCTTTCACCCTCTTGTACAGACAACAATCAAATGGGATGTGAGCCAGATCTTCTACCTCTCTGCCGCTCTGCAAATGCAGAGACGTCCATTATAGAGTATAGAATGGAATCTTAGTAAGAGAAATTTTGGGTTCGATTGTGGTCATAAGTCAAGGAATACCTGTAACATCATCAGTGCCAGAGGAGATTTGGGTTTGTTCTCATTTTATATTCTAGTGGCTTGCCCTGTCAGTGTTAGTGGGAGTGGGAGTGGTCTTGGTGATTTCTTGATTAGGCTCTTGTTTATTGCTAGCTTGTTTCTCTGAGTTGGCACATGAGAATTTGCTGCTTTCCATGTCAAACACCAACAATCAGCTGCTTCACCTCTTCTTTATTATTATTATTTTTGTTTTTTATCCATCCAATTTATGTAGCTGCCCATCTCAAGGAGTGACCTGCAGCCCACAGAATTAAAATAGAACAAAAACAATAACAAACACTAAAATAATTAAAAATACCCGCAGCTGAGAAATAGGAACCCTAGTTAGAACTTTCCAGAAAAATGTTTTTTAGCAAGTTTTATTTTAAAAAATGGGTATATATGGATAGACGATTTAGTTGAGTAAAATAAAAATCCATTTTGTGGAAAAGTGGCCCAAGAGCAATCCAGAATAAGTGCATGATTTAGAAATGTACACTGAGTTTCAGTAATACAAATTATAACCATCTGTGCTCATCACATTTTTTGTTCCATAGCCAGGTTTTCTCTTTGCACCCATTTGTATTTTTCTCTGCCGTGCTGTTCTACATTTAGGATTGAAACTTTCCAGCTATTAGCATCCTATTCCTTTTCTAATATGCACCTTGTACTATGGGCAGTTTCTGCTGCAGTTGCTCTGGTGTTCTTAACAATAGGGTGATATACTGAAATCTAGGATGCAATCTCTAATCCCTAGATTATATTTCTTACAAGGACTGGCAATTCATTAACAGGTTTAACTTGCCGGGGGCAAATTATAATTGCTGCTTGATTTATTCTTATCAGTGCGGACTGGCGACATTCAAGTAGTTGAGGAGGGCTCTCCAGAATGAAATTATATCTTGATAGCTTAATACACCATATGCCAGCATTGAATCAGTTGTTTCTTTTAGGAAAAAAAAAAGTGAATGAAATGATTAAAGAAAAGAAGGGCTATAGAACTTTATGACTGGAGAAAAAAAATGTCGGTGTTTATTCTTTCAAAGAGCTAAATAGTGGGATATATTAGTTGTTGTTATTAATAATAACTAAAGCTATTCATACAATAATGTTAGGAGCTCAAGAGCTATGAAGTAGATGGAAGATGGTGTTGCTATGTAGGGGCACTCAAAATCCACGCTAATTAGAAATTTATTTATTTAACAAATTTAGAATGTCACACATCTCACCGAAGGCAACTCTGGACAGTGCACAACATAAATACTTGATTAGTTGTATTTTCTATGAATGCAGGTGGCAACCAATTTAGTCATATTTACTTCTGAAGAAGATGCTATTGTGAATTAAAAGTTTAAATTATAATTAGTGACTTGGCAACTCCAGAAATTTTAGAAGTTCACTGAGGCATCATTGCTGATGTGGAACATTCTCCCACTAAGATGGCTTTAAATTTCCTTTTAAAAATATATTTTTTGTGTGCCCTGACAATAGCCAGTACATACCTGATCATGAAGATGGATCAGTAATATGTAGTGTTATTCATTGGTGTCTTCCAGGCTGCATCAAAGTTATAAACATGTCAGTGGGAACTTTGTGGCAGAAATTGTATCATTTCTCTTCTTAATTTTTGCACAAGATACTTGCATCTTTCACTTGGTATCATTTAAAAGGAAGTATCTTTTATGAGACTATTAGAAAATAAAAACAATTAAGTGGGCAGTGCTGTCACATGTTTATGAAACAATCATGCACAATGCTGAAGGTATGCTGAAGGAAACAAAAGGCAATTATTCTCACACTTCTAATGAATGTTTACCCCATTCTCCATTACAGTTCCAAAACAATACAGAAAATTAGGAACCCAAACAGGTATCTTTTGTGAAATCTTCTACATTGACTTAAACGCAAAATTTGGTTGAATAGTGAGTTGGATTGATTGTAACCTGGAGGAATAGAGATAGCCCAGGTTTACTTGGTAAGATATCATAGAGTTGGTCCTTGACTTATGACTACAATTGAGCTCAGAATTGATGTTGCTAAGTGAGAAATGTGTTAAATGAGTTGTGAGCCATTTTACAACATTTCTTGCCACATTTGTTAAGTGAATCACTGCAGTCGTTAAATTAGTAACACGGTTGTTAAGTGAATCTGGCTTCCCCATTGACTTTGCTTGTCAGAAAGTCGTACAAGGGGATCACTTGAAATCTAGGAAACTGTCATTAACATGAACCAGTTGTCTAGCATCCAAATATAAATCAAGTGATAGATGCTGCAATGATCATAAATGTGAAAAATAGTCATACATCACTTTTTTTAGTGCCACTGTAACTTCAAACAGTCGCTAAACTAACTGTTGTAAGTCAAGGACTACCTGTAATCAGGTTCTCTGGGTTTAGAAGATCAATGCCAATGTATCAATAAGGTTCTTGAAGATGTTTGCCTGTAGCAAGGCTTCCTTAGCACAAGGGTTCAGAGGTAGGATATGGAAAAATATGTAATGCCTATAGAATGATTCAGATCATTTTGGAAATTTTTAAAACATAGTTCGTCAAAAATGCAATGTTGAGCTGTACATACCACAGTAGCTAAAATGGAATAGAAGGAAGACAACAGAAGAGCTTAGAAACACATTAATAAGAAAATAATAAAAACAAATCAATAAGAAAATTAAAAAACAAGGGGGAATCTGATTATTATGAAATGTGGAATAAATTCTATCAGCGGTTGCATAGCGGCAAGGTCAAAACACAAGTAGTTATGATGATTAGAATAATTAGTAAACAATGTATCAAACAAGAGGATTGTAAATGGTGAAGTAACACTTATATATGTATAACAATTGTAATGCCAGAACGGCTGCACTGTGTTGTATTGTTATAATTAAAATTTTTAAAAATGATTAAAAAAAGAAAAGAAAAAAAAAGAAAATATAAACCATAACTACATATTAGTGGTTATATCTTTTTATCAGACTCATATTAGAATGACTTTCTGGACGTAAAGAAAGATTTAAAGGATTCTTATAAACATAATATGAAAGGGTCATAACCTTTCTTCTACTCCTTCTACCACTATTAGTACTACCATTTTTTCCTATTACTTGTACAATTATATTCAGTTTGCTCCACTCTTCTCATATATCTCATTAACATTACCATCAGTATGTTATATCTATTTCACGTTATTATATATAAAATCTTTATTTCTGGACCTTTTTATCAATTGCATTCAGATGCATATAAAGTTCTGTGGAAATGTTTTCTCAAGGGATGTTTCATTCTTCATAGACAAAACTTTCCATAGCATCAAAGTCTGTCAGAATTTTTACTAAATTAATTCTCAAATAAGCTTGAGTCTGGCATTTGAAACAATGATTTCAGGCACCAAAACAATCTTTTTTTTTTTTTTCAGTCTTCTTGAAAAATATTTAAGTTATTCTTAGGTCTCGGTGTATACAGCATCACATTTCACTTCTTTCACAAAAGAGTCAAAGTGTATGATAATACATTTTAACAATTTTAAATATAAGCATGACAAATAGTATCTTTGCAACCCACTGGACAATCGCAACCACCAATCAATCATGGGTTGTTTTTTTTTAAATAATACTTTTGTGGATTCTTGTTGGCTATTAGTAGAATATAAAAAACAGATATACAGAATATAGGAATGGTATAAATATTTTGGAAAGGACTATAATGAAGTTATGTATCCAAACAAACCACAAATTGCTAATTTGTTTTATGCAATATGAAATAACTCCATGAAACAAAAGGAATTTCCTTCCTGCAGTAGGGAATATGTACGTTGCTCCTTGCACATGTCAGAACTCCTAAGAGGTGAAATGGAAATTCTATAAATCTTAAAGATATCGGTAACTGCCCTGTTTGGAGTTAGAATCTTTCAGTTGGTGTTCTTCCTTATTCAGTTCATAAATGCAATAAAAAAGCAACATGTTTTTCTGAGATAATTTTCCAGGGCATGTACTTTACATGTCGCAACCTGTTAGCCATCAGTACTCCTTCACAATCAAATATGTTTTGAAATATCTCCCAGGAGACTACAGCCACCAATGAAATAGTTAACTCTGAGTTGCTTCTTTACATCGCCTTTGAAAGTTCCTGGAGATCACCACAAGCTGAGTTTCCTGAAGCTAACAAAAAAAAAGCAGTGGAAAGGTGTGCACATTTCAATTAAGAACTGACTCCATCGTTTATCTCAGGATTATTCAATGCCAATTTTTTCTAACTCCTTTTCCAATCATATCACGCAACTGCTGTCATGTTACAATGCTGGCTTCTTTCCTGAATGCTGGAAGGATTTTCTCTGAGTATTAATGAGTAGAGTTTTGTGATCTGCACTTTATTTTTGTTTTGTTATTGGTAGAATACCTATACCAATGCAGACAAGCTACTGGAAGCAGCAGAGCAACTGGCTCAGACTGGGGAGTGTGATCCTGAAGAGATCTACAAAGCAGCACGGCATCTAGAAGTGCGGATTCAGGACTTCGTTAGGAGAGTGGAACAGAGGAAGCTTCTTTTGGATATGTCTGTCTCCTTCCATACTCATACCAAAGAGGTAAGGTGTCTGCAATGTAATAGAAATTCAGATACTGTTTGACCTATGTTTCAAGTATAGAACATAGCAAAAGGCGTTCATATTGCTCAAGGCATACTAGAATAAACTTAGATTATATGAAATTAAAGTTTACAAGACTTGCCAAATTATATAAACGTTACAAGCCTCCCTGTTGGAGTTGCAACATAACTATAAATGAAAGTGGAATCAATAGAAATGTTATTTGTTTGCCTATCTATCTGAAACTCCATAACAGAATAGCAATGTGCATGTTAACACTGATTACTGATTACTAATATTTAGTGTTCGTGTGAAGTTTATATGCAATGGAGTAGACTTTTCATCTGTATTTTGTAATTGGAATATCAACACCTAGCTTTCTTCTCAGAATGTTTTTTTTTCAAGTAGAAAGAAATAAATGAGGTGTATTTAGTTTCCTCCTCTCTTTACATTCATCATTTCATGTCCTTCACTGATCTGGAGAATCTACCAATTCTCTGAAGAAGCATAAAAGTGTGCAAGAGGAATTGATAAACGTTGGTTTTGGGGTTTTTTGAATGTAAATGGTCCAGGTTACATGGAAGATCATCCACATGGAGAAAAAAGATCTGCTTTATGGTTTGAGCTCTTTAAAAGACAGCAGTCATAATGCTATTATTGTTTCTTAAATTTCTTAGGTATTTGAATTTTAGTGAAGCATTCAAATTTTCTGCTTTAGTGATGATTCTAACAAGAATCACTTAATGGAGATACTGTAGCTTTGATTTCATTCTATTCAAAGTAGGTTCTGCATATATGTCCTCTTTTGATTTTCTGTGAATTCCTCAGGACTGGGCTAAATACAAGTGAACGGTGTTCAAAATGTATGAAAATAGGAGACTTTTTCAGCAGACATAGAGGTCAGAACATTGAAACTAAGGGCCTGAGGGTATAACTAAAGCATACTCTACATTTTTCCATCTTCAAACTTCATACCATGACTTCAAATAGCTTTTTTTTTTTTGAAAATTTTATTTGGGTTTTCACAAAAACAAAATACAAATAAAACACCTTTTTTCAAAATAGCATGATCCCAGGTTATCACTTCTTCATACAGACACAAAACTCAATTTCATTCTCATTTTTATATTCTATTCCATATCTTATTACCATTTTATATTTTCTACATAGTTTTTCCCCTCTTCTAATTTTCTCAACTTTGTTTTAATTATCTCAATTCAAATCATTATATTTATACTTTTGTCTGTCCTGTTACCATTTCACATTATCTTTTCTTATTAAGCAGATTTTTCCCTGTAGTTACCAATTAGAGTATGACACCTTTATATCCTTTAATTTTATCCATTCAAGCTCTTATTTAAGCTTCAATGTATAGCTTTAAGATTATAGCATTCAATATAATATATAACTTCCAATTGAATTCTGCTTGGTACATTCTTAAAATAGACACTATTTTCTTAAAAAGAAAAAATTATATATATATATATATGTAAATAAAACACATTCCATTCCAATTCAATTCTATCATTAATATGCATTAAAATCTTAACATCTTTAACATTTCTTTTCAATTGAATATCATACTTCCTTGGAAACACTTATAAACTTTCCATAGTTAATTCTTTTTTTCCCCCATATTTCTCACTTATATTTTTATAAATTATTACTAATAATTAAAAATGTTCCCTTTTAATTCTCTCAATCATTTTAATTCATTTATTTATTAACAAACATCCCACTGCATTACAATAAATATTTTATCCATCATCATATTTTCTAAAGTTATTTTTATTTGTAATATAACAAAGCTATCTTATGTACCTTTGCAGAATCCCTTTTACAATTAAAGTTTCACCCATTATCTCTAAACAAACTTATGGTTACAAACCTTATATCTTTTCCTGTTTCTCCATTTCTTGTTTCTGTCTTTTACAACTTCTTTTCCTTGCCTTTTTCCCACTCTTCTCCCTCCCCTTTTTACCCCCTCGTCTCTCTACTTCTAACTCTCTCATCTGTAATCCCCTCTTCTGTTGCTTTCTAATATTATACTTATCTTTCAAATTGTTCTTCTTCTTTTTGGTTGGTTTTTCTAATCTTAAATCTTTCACTCTCTTTCCCCACTTTTCTTCCCCCCCCCCACTTAAAATTATTTGATCATTAAAGATGGCTTCTTCTTTGTCCCAATCTTCTTGTTCTGCAAGCATTTCTTGTTGCTTCTCATAGTTCCAGATCTCCATTTCTAAGAATTGAAACACAAAGCCAAAAGAACTTCTCCCTTCTTGTGCATCTTCTTTCCATTTTTTAAGTTCCATTTTCAGTTCTTCTAAGAGTGATACCATTTTAAAAACTTTTAAACAACCACCCAGTTAATTTTAGTCATCTAGATGCAAAAACCAAAAATCACCAAGTAATCCAAATAATCCAAGGCTGTTTCTACTTGCTTCTTTTTTCCACTTTCTCTTCCTGGGGTTCTATTATTTTGCTACCAAATTTCCATTAAAATGTATCTTTGAGGAATCTTGTTAAAATTTCACTGTAAGTTCCTTTTAATTACAGTTCCATTCCTTAATTCCAGGCAGTCTCCTCCATTTTTCCAGATCCTGCCCTTCTATTTTTTTTTTCCTCCTTTCCAGCTTTTAAAAACTTTTAAAAGTTCAGAAATCTTTATTATCTCTTTGACTTTTATTTTCAGCTTAGATGCCTATTAATGTCAAAGTGGATTTTTTTTTCAATTTCTTGCTTAAGTCTCTTAGCTGTCAGTATAAGGAAGGGAAGAAAAAAAACCTAATCCTTTCCCTTCTCTCTCTCCTTTGCAGCTTCAAAATCTTCTTTGGGAACAATGTTGTTAAGTTTAAATTCCAGGGTACCTTATTTGTTGCTTTTGCTGTTTGACCCGGTCAACCAAAACTTTCTCTTCTTATCTTCTTCCTGCACATTCTTTTCCATTCGAGTTCTTCTTTGTGGTGGCCATTTCTGACCACCGCTATAACCGCCTTTGGGAAAGGGAGTAATGGCCAGCTGGGGAAGAGAGATGCGGCTCTCCTCAACCCTGCAGGCAGTCTCCCCCATCTTCACCACCTCTACGGGGTGGCTTAGCCCTGAAACCAGCTGGCTCGGGGTGCTCCAGCGGCGAGCACAGATCGAAGCCTCAGAGAGACGAGGTTTTGGTCTGTCGCCGAAGAAGCTCATACTGGAAGACGCATGACTTCAAATAGCTTTGAAAGACAGGATTGTGTACTATAAGCAAATAATGTGTAAAAATGATAAAAAAGAATTTTGTTGCAGTCATTAACCTGCACATGGGAAATGAATATGTAAATATTCAAAGCTGAATTGACAATGTCAGAATAGTGAGGTGAAATTCAAAGAATTTTGATTAAAAGCTATAACAAAAAACAGAGAATCCTACTTGTTCCAATACTCATGTGCAATAAAAGAGAAACAATTAAGTTTAATTATCAGAGTAGTATAGGAATAGCACTTAGACTTATATACCCTTTTACAGTGCTTTACAGCCCTCTCTAAGTGGTTTACAGAGTCAGCATATTGCCCCCAATAATTTGGGCCCTCATTTTACCCACCTCGGAAAGATGGAAGGCTGAGCATAAGCTTTAAAATGGTAGCATAACATTCAGGTAAATATAAAGAAGTAAAGCAATAAAATCAGCCAAAGAAATTCGAGACTATGACAAAATCAAATCAAATCAAACCTTTATTGTCAATGAACAACTTGTGTACAACGAAATTGAATGAGCCTCCCTTGGTGCAGCCCTCCCCTCCCCCCAAAAAACACGAAATACATCTCAAAATATGACAGAAGTTCCCTCAGGCTGCTTTGCTGTTTGCTGCTGCTGCCTCACGATGGTGTCATGTAACTTAGAGAGTGCTGTGCTAACATTTGCATCAGGTGGCATATAGGCAGCAGTGATAACTATAACAGAAATCTCTCTAGATAATAGAATGGCTGACAAACGACAGTTTAGTATGCCACATCTGGAGAACAGCGTGTATAAATAACTCTACTGTTAGTACACCAGTCATTATGTGTGTAAATATAAAGTCCACCACCTTTGCTTTTAATGGAGTTGCCATTTCTGTCAAAGTGGTGGGTGGTGCAATTAGTTAGCTCCACTGATGCATCCGGTACTAGTGGATGAAGCCAGGTCTCTGTGATAATCATCACACACCAGTTGCAAATAAGTTTATTCACTGCCATCCGTAGCTCTGGTTCATCAATTTTGTTGACAAAAGCATCTAGCATTGATTAGAAAAATACTTGGCAATGCTGGTCTGTGAGGCTGCTTCCATAACCGAGCTAGCAAGCCAGCTCTGCATCCCCGGTTCTGTTTCTTCTCTCTTCACTGTCGACATCGTCTTCCAGGCCCAACAATGATCCATGGAGAGCCTTGCAGTCTTACTCACTTAGTATGAGGCTGCTGGAAGTCACTGGTAATATCTAGTCAACTAGAGAATCCAATCTTTAGTAACTCCCCACGGGTATAGATTAGTTTTTGCCCACTCACTCCATTGTAACACCAGAAGCCCAAGGCTGCAGCGGCTATGTAAGCCACCATCTTGGATGGAAAGATAACCTTCATTTATTGTCCCCTGTAAAATCTGAAAAGAGTGTAATATAGTAATTGATGTGGCAAGTGTACACCGAGATATAAACATCTTTAAATATCTGCCTTTATTACTCAAACGTATCCAATACTCTTTCTTCCTCCTACTTTCCTCACAACAACAACCCTGTTAGGTGAGTTGAGTTGAGAGAGAGTGACTGGCCCAAGGTCATCTAGCTCAGTGGTTGCCAACCAATGGGCTGGGGACCACTGGTGGTCCGCGAGAAAATTTTGGTGGTCCACAGAGAAATGTCCCCCCAAAGCAATTAATCCAGGCTGCACAGGAACACAAAGTTTGTGTTACTTGCATTGCGAACAACATGAGGTAGTGAGGGGAGGGGGAAAGGGTGGAAAGAACTTGCCCAATGCACCCCATGC